AAAAAAACAGTAATAAACAAATTTGTTTCGAAGAACGTTAGTAAAAAAATATTTTTAAAAATTACGTAACATTGATAAGGAGGGGGGGGGGTGTAAAACGATTTTGTTACAACTTGTTACATAGGGGGAGGGAGGGTTCAAAATTTCACTAAAAACGTGTTACGTAATTTATGGACGGTCCCTAATTGAATTCTCGTAGAATTTTATTAATTTATGAAAATAATTGAATTCTTGCAATGAATTATTCGTGAAATGTAATTAAATTCTTACAAAAAATTTAAGAAAATAATTTTATTTTTCTAGGGATTTACTTTAAAATGTTTTATTAATAATTGAAATCCTCAGAAAAATTTTATAGTTTATGAAAATAATGGAATTCTTAAAACGAATTTTATCAATTTTTTTAAAATAATTCAATTCATGTCGAAAATTATATTACTTGTAAAAATAATTGAATTTGTACAACGAATTTTATTACATTTTATTTAAATAATTAAATTCTTTTGAAAACTTTTATTAAAATTGTAAATTTTGAAAATTATGCAAATAATTTCATTATTTGTAAAATGTACCCTAATTTAATTCTTGCAAAAAATTTTTGAAGATAATTTTTATTTTTCGAGAAATTTATTTAAAATTGTATTAAAAATAATTAAAACCCTGTGAAGAATTTTATTATTTATGAAAATAATTGAATTCTTGCAACGAATTTTATTAGAATTTTTGTAAATAATTTAACTTTTTTTAAAAAATTTTATGGAAATTAAAATTTTTATAAAATATGAAGATATTCTTATAAGTTGAATTTTAAAAATGTTTGAATTTGAATATTTAGAATAATTATAATTCCTATAGAAAAATAATTATTAAATACTCATTTACAAATTTAGTTATTGATGTTTGCAAATAATTTTACAATTTAAGAAATTCGTAAGTAAATGTAATATAGAATGTTTTTTTTAGTGTAATAATTTTTAGAGTGAATCAGAATATTCTTTAGGGTCAGGAAAAAAGTGAAAATTTTGTCTGGAAATCAGGCAAAAACAAAATTAATTTTTTGTGGCAACCCTGTTTTATTATACTTCCAACTATTTTTATTGGCATAATTATTTTCTTCAACATTTTTTTAAAGTTGTAATATTAATTTTTTATTGTTTGTAACTTTATTTGCTTATTATTTATCATTTTATTTATTAATTAACAATTTTAATAGATTACCATTTCCGATGGTGTGAAATACTCGGATTTAAATATTTCTTTAAACTTTTGCAATGACGTTGCTTTCATTTCTCTTCCCCAAGACGTCTTTGAAAATGTCTCTAGCTTAAACCGAGGATCCAAAATTAGGACTACACAATATATCCAATTAGATTTATTATAATGTTTCATCCATTTATCCAATCCTACATTAAGAGTTTTCAAAATGTTTTCTTCAACCGCATTTTTCTGGACTTTTTCATCTAAAATTTTAATTGAACTCTCGATCTTATCCAAAAGCATGTTGAATCCTACAATAACTAGGTTCAAGGTCGGGTAGTTTTCTCCACTAAATGAGGTAGTTAAAACCTTAAAGTGATTTAAATGCTTGTTAATTTCCTGCAATAAGACCCATTCTTCTTCGCTGATCATTAATTTTCGCAAATCTGAATTATTTTCTGTTAATAAATTTATAGCTGGGCGCATACGAATAGCTAAATTTATCATTGCACATGTCGAATTCCACCTAGTTTTTACGTCAATGTTGGGTGCTAACATTTTTATGCCACAAATTTCGCAACAGGATTTTAGTTTGTTAGTCCATTGTTCGGATCTCCTTAGAACAGTAAATAACTTTCGAAGTCTGGACAGTGGTGAACCAGTTAAGCGTGTTCTGATATCATTTAATACCTCATCAACTCCACCTTCATCTTCTTGATTTTCCTCATCTAAATCCATTTCTTCGACATCATTTTCATTCATTTTTTCTTCACACTCATCATCACTGACATCAGCAAGATTCAATATTTTCAACATACTTTGTACCGCAATGTTGAAAATATGCGCATAGCACTTGAAGTGTTGGTTTTCATAATCGAATGCCATCAGAAGAGATAACTCAAACATAAACCGATCATTTGCTGATGTATTGTCAAGTGTTATGCCCAAAACTTTAGATTCTATTCCGTAAGTATCAATTGCATCGTGAAAACATTTCGCTAAATCCTTCCCAGAATGAGCACCATAACAAGGACAAAAATCAATTACAATTGAGTGCAATATCCAATCATCGTCAATAAAATGACACGTTATTCCGTTATATCCACGATGAGTAATTGCAGTCTAACCATCTATAGTGAATGACATTTTAGATTTATTGTTTTGAAAGATTTTTTGAAGACTCAATTGCATTTTCGAAAACCTGTCTACAACCATACTTTTTAAACGATTACGTTTAGGAATTTTAGCCAAGGGATTCATAAAGCAGAACAATTTTTGTGTTGTATCGTCATCGAAGAATCGAAACGGGAGATATTTTATCGCCACCCAATCCACTAACATCTCGTCCAGTTTTTCTTGTTGAAACACCTAATTATTATTTAGATTTTAGTAATATTTAATAGTGAATATATTTTTAGTATTTATTTTTTTAGTTATATTTGTTTATATTTCTCGGTTATATTTTTAATTTTTTATTATTTCGTGTGTAAATATATCATGATGTTAATAATAGATTAAATAATTAATTATTTATAAACACTTTTAATAGAAAGAATTATTAAAAATATTCTAATAAAATAATTAATTACGAAAATAAATGTTATATAATATAATAAACAAATAAATTATAATTATAAATAAAAAATTTACTTAAATGATTTCTTAATCAAAGGTTATATAATTAAATATTATTCAAACTAAAAAATTACATTTTCAGTGTCCTCAACATAAGTGTCTTTAAATACATCTGGATGTGCCTTTTTTAGATGGCGTTTGATTCCGGTTGTATTGCTATTCTTCATCTTAATAGGTTTCGCATTTTCTAAATCTTTCAAAGAACACATTTTACATTTTGCCCATTTCACCCTTTCCTCATCAAAATAAAATTCAAAAGATTCATCTAAAGGTTTTTTATTCAGTCTTCGACGCTTACTTTGGTGAACAGTGTCTTCTTTCTGATTTTGATCACTGTGTAATTACATATACAGGTTAAAAATTACAATGCTTTCAAAAACAATAAATAAAGACATATAAAATAACAGGTTAGAAAATACTTGGATGTGTTAATTAAATTCAAAATTCAATAGATAAAAATACAAGAATAGAAATAAGAATGTAATGTAAAAATGAAAAGTGTTTTTAGTTTCCATAATTAAAAATTAATATAAATTTAAAAATGTTTCAAAATTTAATCAATACAACATTAAAAAAACTAATTTACTCTAAAGAAGTTCCTTGTGATTCGTTTTCCATTTTTCAATAGTCTGAAATATTTTTCACAGTATTTTGATAATATTTTGACAGATTTTGAAATAATCAGAATCTTGTCAAGAATCTTGAGTCTTGACACAACATTAAATGTTGAATAAACAATTGAATGAGCGAGAAGTTTGTCGTTTCAATTTCTTGTCATTCGAACAAAATACTACAAGCCAAACGAACATATCGGCTTGACGTGCAACTCTAACGCACCACCGAGAATAGTCATCTATAAACGTCACAAAGTATTAGAGCTGTGCAAAATAATTCGAACCGAACTGTTCGAATTTTTTCGCCTAGTTCGAATGTCGAATATTCGACATTCGAGTTACTACAAAATTCGAACCGAACCGAGTTTTGTTCGGTTTTGGTACGCTAAAATGTCGAATTCTAAAATTCGACATTTCAGTCGCCCAGTTCGAATGTCGAATATTCGACATTCGAACTAGCCCAGTTCGAATGTCGAAAAACCGACATTTAAGTTAGCCTAGTTCGAATGTCGAATATTCGGCATTCGACATTTCGGCGCCCCAAAACCGAACTAAACTCGGTTCGGTTCGAATTTTGCACAGCTCTACAAAGTATCTATTACCTGCATGTGAGTTTACCCGCATCGGGCCACAAACATCCGAGTGTATTAATTCACCAATATTTGTTTTCCTTGCTGATTCCTTCTTGAACGGAGGACGACACATTTTTCCTTCCGGACATACACGACACTCAAAATCCGACCTTGATCCTTTAATTTGAATACCTTGAATAGATCCCGTTCTGATAGCCTCTTGAAGTGATTTTGCGTTCAAATGTCTTATTTTATAATGCCAGTCCTCGAATGAATTCTTCACTGGTGCATAAATCGCATTTGCTTCCGAAAAATGTTCCACTGGATTGTTGACACTTTTAAAATAGTACAAATCTTTCTCGCGTTCAGCCGTAAGTAAAACTTTTCCGTCACTGTTTACTATCTCGGCTTTATCTTTATCGAATATTACACTGTGACCACCGTCAGTCACTTTTCCGACCGAAATCAGATTTGTACGCAAATCCGGGACAAACAAAGTTTCTTTAAATTTTACACACTTTTTTGTATTTCCGGATTCTATCACTGATGTCAACACATTTCCTTTTCCCATCACATTTGTACACGCACTATTCGCGAGATTTAATTTCCCTTGAGTTCCACTTTGGTCAATGTCAGAAAAACATTCGATGTCCTTACACATGTGTGAGGTGCTGCCACTATCTAAACACCAGGTTTCACAATTAGCATCGTTTCGAATCAATAAAGATTCATTCCTCCCACCGTCGGTAAAGAAACATTTGTCTTCAACATTACTACTCGATTGATAACTCGCCCTTTTTGCGTTCTTACAAAATCTTGCACGATGTCCAGGTTTTCCACATTTGAAACATGTTATTTTAAAATCTTTCTTTGGAATATCATCCTTTTCATTTTTCCCGTTTTTAATTTCACTGTTTTGTCCCCCTCGATTTTCTGATCTTTTGACGGCCATCGCACTTGGAGCAAAATTTTGATTTTTATTTCATCGAGTGTCGAATTCCTCTTCAATTTTGATTCTTAAAGCCTCTAGAGATGGCAAAGCATCACGCGAGGAAATGGCACAACGAAAGTTTTCATAACTTTCAGGCAAACTACGAAGAAGCATTACCGCGAGCAATTCTTTATTAATATCAACTTCCAGTTCCGCCAGTCTATCCGCGGTATCGAAAAATGATCTTGAATATTCCCGAACATCGTTGTCCTTACTCATTTTTAAGGACATCAACTGGTTCAATAACGCCGCCATTCTTACAGGACCCTTGGACTGGTAAATACCCTGCAGCTTAGTCCAAATCTCTCTTGTGGTGGTACAATTCTTTATTTGCAGCAACTCGGAAGGACTCATCGCCAAAATAATATCAGATTGAGCCTTCAAATCTGCCTCCACCCATCTTTCCGCTGCTTGCTGCGATGCTTCGTCTCCTTCCCTAACCACAGGTTTCACTTTAGTCCCATCTGCGTAAGCCCACGTACTATTTTTAATTAAAATAGCTCGCATTTGGAGTCGCCAGGTCTCGTAATTATCCTTGGTTAATATTTCGAATTTTATACCGGCCGCGTTCATCTTTCGACCACGTTTTTATAAAACACCGCTAACCTCAAAAACCAAAGTTCACAAATATTTGACACCACGTTTCTTTTTACATCGCCCCTGGGCCCATAACCTGTTAAGGGAAATAACTAATAAATAATCTATTACGAATAGAACAGAGATTTATTATAAAGAGATAGAAATAATGTAATATGAGAACGTTACACAAGACAAGCTCGTAAAAGCCTAATTAATGGAAACGGAAGTTACAAAAGCCCTCTATGGGTAATAATAAGAAATTGGTTTGTTTTAAAATTTCCCCAACATATTATTACAATAAATTACAATAAAAATTAATTAAATAGTTAACTTTTCGATTACAGCTTTTTATGAGTAAAAAACCTGAATAAGTGAACACTATTCTTTATTAATATTACATTAAAATTGTCGGAGTCGAAAGAGTTAACTTTTATTTGATTATTATGAATTACAATATATATAAATTATATTATTTATACCTTAATTGTTATGTAGAAATTTTCTGCTTCAAGAAACACGATATTTTTTTAGATAGTTTATCACAAACTTTCTGAAAAATGTTTCTTTACCTAATTTGAAAAATTAATTTCATTACTTACCTCTAAAGGATCCTGACTGATTTTGCCTGTCAGTACGTATTGAAATTTATACTCGTCTTTTAAAATCTTTTGCAAATCAATCATAGATCTCAAAGTCACACGGAGTCCCTCGCTTGTTGAGAGAGTCAAGAAATTTTCGGGCTGTTTTGAAGATTGTTTTTCCATTCATCTATCCAAGAAATGAAGTCTTTCATAATCTATAAAACACAATTTTTCTATTAATATTGAACACTATTTTTTCCTTCAAAATTATTATTACTCAAATGATGTTTTATGTTCCTACAATGCAATCAGCAAAGTTAAATTTTAGTGCTTCTTCAGAGTGAATTCGATTCATAGCATCAAATAAATTATTTATTTTAATGCAAAACTCGGCAGTATCTTCGCAGCCTTCAAGATCGCTTTGAAACTTTTTGATTTTTTTGTAAAAAAGCAAACCTCTTGCTGTGGACATACTGAAAACCTGAAATTGAATAAGTTTATAATTATCTATATATTATTATTATTATGTAATATTTAATTAATAAATTGTTTTATACTTGTAGTGCAAGTGAAACACGCATTGTTAAAAATTTGCTCAGATTAACATGATCGTTTGTGAGCTTTGGACATAGTCTTCCATTGGGATTACATTTATCTATTTCTAGCAGCTTTGATATATAACTCCATTTTATGGACTTGACATCTGGATGAACCTGAAACAATAGGATTTTAAATGAAATTATAAAAGTCAAACTGAAATTTTTTAAAAATTTTAAACACCTAGATGCAGACCTTTAATTCCTTCTTATTGTATAATCGATTTCTTATGCATTTTATTAGATGAGGTGGGTCTGAAAATACATAAACTTTTCGCTTAGGGTGTGTAAACGAATTCTTAAGTTCCCCATGCTTTCCAATAACTCCTAATTCAGACCAAAACTTTCTGTTCGTTGTCGCTCCATCGGTTACTATGCCGTGAATTTTTGCATTAGCTCTTTCCAGAAAAATAATAGCCTCAATTACTAATCTTGATAATAAAATTCCAGTCACAGGACCTTTAGAAGCAAAAACTGCTATAGGTTGTTCAAAATTCCCCATGAGTGATTGCAGCATAATGACTAACCCATGATTTGCTTTGTCGGAAATATCAACTTGTGAACCATTTCCAAAATCAGTGAGGCCACTTAACTCCATTGTTTTTGTATCTAAAGTTACATTTTTTCTCGTATGTATTTCGTCAATCGATATAATGAAATGTTTATTTTCATCCGCTTCTGACTTCAGTCTTTCTTTCAATACGTCGAACATTGGTTGATGAAATCTACACGGGGTTTGTATCAAAGACAAATACCTACAATTAGAAAAAATATATTTTCTACTCATAGGTAATGAAAAGGAATCAAAATAATATAATGTTACAATTGTACTTTACCTTTTAATAGAACTCCTGCAAGGCAGTGGTATTACTTTTGTCTCTCTTAAAAGTCGATATGCTGCAGGAGATTTCGTGTGAAAAATGAGACATAATATTATCCATCCGTCTGCATATCTATGTCCATTTCTGCTTTTACACTTGGAAGCAGTCAAGATTTCACTGATCACGAGTTTTTCATTACACAGCCACACAAAAAAATAAAAGTAACCTGGCCGACGAATGAGACCACCCTTCCCTTATGTATTTTGATGCGCTGAACACGAATCTGAAGTCCGTTTTGCTCCATCACGTCAGGATTTTGACATAACCTCAAAAAACATCGGATTTTAAGTGACAGGAGAACTTTTTTAAATCATGACAGATTTGCTTGAATCTTTTTACTCGGGGGTTTTAGGGGTCGATGATTACGAATTTAACGTCAGATTTATAAAATTCAAAATGGCGGATCCAATATGGCGGACAAATTTTTAAAAAAAAGTTGGATTTTTACAAAAATTAGTATCTGGGTGTTTTTGGGGTCGCTGATAACGAATTTAACGTTAGATTTATAAAATTCAAAATGGCGGATACTAATTTTTGTAAAAATCCAACTATTTTTTAAAAATTCGTCCGCCATATTGGATCCGCCATTTTGAATTTTATAAATCTGACGTTAAATTCGTAATCAGCGACCCCAAAAACCCCCGAGTAAAAAGATTCAAGCAAATCTGTCATGATTTAAAAAAGTTCTCCTGTCACTTAAAATCCGATGTTTTTTGAGGTTATGTCAAAATGCTGACGTGATGGAGCAAAACGGACTTCAGATTCGTGTTCAGCGCATCAAAATACATAAGAGAAGGGTGGTCTCATTCGTCGGCCAGGGTACTTTTATTTTTTTGTGTGGCTGTGTTATCAGAGATATTTTTCTTCTTTAGTTCGTCCTCTAAAGTCGATGAATTTACAGAGCTCATTTTATTTTTTAAAGCTTTCATCCGTTTTTTTAATAAATCTTTCGCTGTTTCATTGTAATTCATTCTTTTTGAAATATTTCTGAGTTTACCTTTTAATAAACCAAGTTTTTTTCTCGGCGTTCTGTCCTTTAAATACTAATCTCTGCAAATCATGCTGTTTCCGAAGACGTACAATTTTATTGGATATAATATTCTTTGCTTTTTTGCAGGGTAAACAGTATTTCCTATTGACATTATTTTCAATATCTAAAAGCAGAGTACAATGTTGATGCCGTAAACATCCAAAGGAATCTCGACTGAGAGAAGATGTCTGAACATTTTCTATAGAATTCGGAGGAGCACATCCTTCACAAATTTTGGATTTGTTAAAAATTTCAATTGCTGCGTCTATCTCTTCAGCGGCTGAGACGAAATCATTTTTGAAATTAATTTTTTTTATATCTATTTCTTTCTCCATCACATAAGCATTGATACTTATATCTTCATACAAAATTATTTTCTTTGAGCACGTTGTATTAAATTTTTTTTCTCCTTCCGTACTGTTCACTGAACAAAAGTTATTGCCCTGAAAACGCCGTTATTTATATTGGATCGTGTCCATGATACTGGAATCTTAAATGCATCCTTATTGCATAAAAAGTTGTCAAACATTTTCAATCTATCACTTTCAGTATTAATATTGGATGATTCTTTAGCAGGAACGCTTTCAATAACTTCATTAGGAGGAGACTCTGATTTCTCAAAAGAAACTCCAAAATTTTCGTCAGGAATATGAGATGGTAGTGCAGGTTCGGAATCAGCAGAATGTTCATTTAACGAAGGTGACAACTTAGCAACTTTCTTTCTTCTTCCATTTTCGACGGATTCGAATTTTCTTTTTTGGGAGATTTGCGTTTCTTATGTGTTTTTGATAAATACGAAGGACAATTTGGAAATTGAGTTAGTACAACTCCTTTCTTTAATCGTGGAACTTTATAGTCTTCCTGAAATCAATGCAAAAATTTGATTTCATTAAAATTCTTGTTTAATATAATTTAGAAATTCGAATTTACGAAGAAAAAATAAAACAATTTTTATATATTTACGTCGCTGAATTTGGCTTAAAAAATTGTCGACACTAAGGGTCAATGCTAACTTCAGCAACGTAAAAAGGTATCTTTTTCCATCAAGCAATTTTTAATAGTTATTTAAAAAGTTAAAAAAATTGATTCTATCTCATTTCATACTTACAAAAGCAATTACGTTTCCGTCAGCATCTTTTACTTCTCGCTTTCATAGTATATCTTCAGGCAAGTAGTGTTTTTCACACACACATTGGCCACTTTTAACCAAAAAGTTTTCTCTTCTTACAGCTTTTTGATAATCATCCACTGCATCCTTAGGCACTCGAAAAAAGTGGATTTTTTCTGTAACTTTTTGGGAAGCATATCCCGACTTACAGTTCGGGATTATGCACTTCTGCACCATCGTTTTGCTGAATCAGTTTGACTGATTCAGTTGAACAAAAACACCAATAACTTTTTAATAAATCATCCACAATAATAACAACAATAAAAATCAACAAATAACAAAGAAAATTTTTCAAAACACTCTCAAAAACTTCCAAAGTAAACGGCTTTAAACAGCACAGTGATAGATGATAACGTAGGCCTACACGTACGCAGCGCCATAGTACGGTGAAAAAAAGAAACTTTCACGCATAGCTTTACGCTTTACGGTACGAAATATTTGACGACTAATGTACAGGAGTTGGACCGGTTTAGGATTTGACATGGGAAAATTTAAAAAAAAATGAAAAAAGGATTTCACTTGGATATTGACTTGGGAAAATAATTATAAATAAATTATTCTGTTTTTCACATGAGATTTTTAGGATTTGACTGGGAAAAACATGCAGGATTTCATGTGGGAATTCATATGGTTTTATGCATAGAAGAACTGTTCAAATTCTCCATGTCTATTCCTAACTAAAATCGTGTCTCAATTTCCCATATGGTTCGACTTAGGAAAAAACATAGTAATCCACATGGTTTCCTTAATGGAAGCAGACTTTTACATGGTTTTTGAGATAGGATCCTGTGTGGTTTACCATGTGAGGATTTTCAATAGGGGTCCAAGTTGTGAAATGTAAACAAACCAAAAGGTAAACAAACCAAACACAAAAATTGCAATTTTGCGACAGCCAATTCTCCCACGAAAATTAACATTTTTACACTTCCTTTACAAAAGTGGAAAATTGGAGTGTCAAAGTTTCCAATGGAATCATTTTTTACTATGAGCAATAAAAAGCAATTAGTAAGATAACTAATTAAAATGACCTGTAAAACAGCATTTTTGACGCGTCGCGAAAAATAAACTGTTTGACTATATCAACCGCACGGATGATGAAGAAGTCCTATGTCAGCGATTGGACGTTCAACATGTGGAAGGGGAAATTTTTCCCTTTCCTCTTTGAAATTACAAGAGGAAGGGTAAAAACTTCTTCTTCTTCTTCGCGACGTGAACACTTTAATTTTTTGCGACGTGAACTCTGCTGCTTTCTGCGCATGAGCAGACCGTACTAGGAACGCATTGACAGCACCATGCAAAAGTGCACATTTTGTTTTGAATGATATTAAGTTGGCTCATGTTCTCAGTTATACAAAGTTTAGTAACCAAATTCGATACTTTAGTTCACCATTTCCATAAAGAAAATGTGAATTTATACAGTGGAACCTCGATTATCCGAACCTCTGTTATCCGAACCCTCTATTATCCGAACCGAAAATCATTTTATCCGAACTTCTATTATCCGAACTTTTTTTGGCCTCCCGAATCTTTCAAAGGAAAATAACGAAATTTATGTCAAAAAAATCTTAAAAAATTCTAAATTCTATGTTTTATTAATATATATTTACGTATATATACTTATGTATATTTAAAAAATGGATTAAATGAAATATATATAATTCAACTGTCGATTTTTTTACT